AAAATGCTCCAATGTAACAAAAAGAATAACGTCCTCTTTCATTCTTTTGTATATTAAATCATTCCTTAGTAGACGTCACTTCATTTGCATTTTCTAAGTTTCAACTGACCATAAATTAGAAAATACAAAAAAAATCAATTTCTCTCTTTACAGATGTACTTAGCAGTATTTCTCTTTTGGATGAGGGTGAATTTCTAATGGTATTATGTGCACTTTAAGATTTTGTTTTTGCATTTTTGATTRATGGAACTGAGCTCGCGCTCTAGAAACCCCAAACGGCTGGAATCTGAAATCAGTGAATGACTATAACCAATAAATGCCCTGACTGGTCCCTACTCGTTCCTCTTACCACGGTTCTAACCTGTAATAAGTGTTTTTAGTGCTAAATGCATGATGCACACTATTTTCCCTTTCGTCTTTGTACTCTAAATACATATACGATGYARAGAACWTAAAAAATCAAAACTTTATATTAAAACGACTAACTTTCATATAATATTTGGTATATTACGCGCTCTTGCATTGGTCGAGGACGCGTTTTAAGTACAACCGCAACGAYGACATTYGATCTTATGTGAKCTYTGATTGGTCAGAACCAGTGCGCGTGCTCTGTTGTGTTCRGTTCAATGACGTGGCGCTCAGAAAACAATAGAGYCGTGAAAATAGCAGTTACGAACAGTGTAATTACCGGTCTGAATGCACTATGACAAGTAGTAAATTACAATATTACAAGCAGTAATTATGTAATATTATTATCTTATTACCWTTCGACAGAAGGGGATCAYATATACACTGGTTGAAATGAATGATTACATTTTCGTCATTTTCAGTTAATATTTTTTGGTATGAGCATAAAACTGCATCCCGGAACTTAACAAAGACTCCAAGTCAGGCCCAACTAAGACTCTTCCAAATTCGGGGTTTTTTGATTCCATTGATTTGCACTGGCAAATCACGAAGCCTAATTGAGTTGGGATTAATAGGTTACGTGGTCATCATCGACCTGAATTGCTGGGGACCAGGGATTTAGTGTCTTTATGCCGATAAAGAGCGGAAATAACGCGTGCGTTTTTAAGACAGTTGAAACGTGAGTTCTTAGCTCTGTCGTCTTATAAACGCTCTCTAATACGCTGTCCCCTATAAGACGCTGAGGGGGAAGTAGGTGCCTTATAACTACAAGTATCTTGTAGAATCAAGTATATGATCATTATAAATATGTAGCCTGCATGTAAATAAAGTAACCAAAAGAAAGCTATARAATGAGACCTTGATYAAAATCATTAACRRAAAATGACTGATTCATCTAGTGAATAGTCTAAAAATTTACATTATAATTGTAATAAAGTTCAAAACGTTTACTTACCATCGGAGCATCCATATAATTCGATTCGCATAGAAATATGGCCATACCACGCCTTAGGAAGAACTCTAATAAATCTTGTAACAATACTTGGATTGAGATTCTGGCCAACCACAGTAGATCTGTCGTTGTTTCCCGCCAAAACTTTCCTGTGTTCATAGTCGTAGTAATGGCTGCCATAGTAACTATATTGAAGGCTATATCTAGTTACCCACTGGTCCTTATTGGGTCTACCTTGCGTGACAATACGAGTTACATTTGTCCTCTTTCCTAAATCTACTTGCAGCCATTGACCAAGATCATTAACTCTTGCTGACCATGCAAATGATGAGCTGTGTAACCGTGCTCTTGATGGTGCGAGGGTGCTATTCCACATGGAGGACGCAGTGATACGGGTATTTACGATTGCACCGTTATGAAGTCCGAGGGCATTTGCACAGGAAGTATCGTTGAGAATTGCTAATAATTTAGTAGAAATAGTGAATATTTAACCATGATAAGGGCTATAAAGTGTTTTGTGATGGGTAAGTTACTTGATTGGTGGTGACACATAATTCAGATTAATCGATAAAAGGACTAATTGGATGAAACATGAATTGATTTAACTTGAAATTAGAATAGAAAAATGGGACATCCGATAATCACTGAGCAAACATGACTCAATAAGCTATCGGTACAAGTTCTTTTTTTAGATGACTTCATTTCATTCACTCTTTTGTTTTTTCATCATTTGAGCAAAAGAAATTCTAATCTGGGATAACTCCAAAGCAATTTTTTTCCTTGACAGGGTTTTGATAGGAGTTAATGATGGGACATATATTCGTTTTTTTTTTTTTTGAATTTCTTGGAGTTTTGAAATAAGACATTTTCATGCAAATAGGACAATATGTGCCATCTCTGCAACAGGGCACCAAGATAGTTGGTCGATGTTGAGTCTTTTAAACGTGGTGTATTGAGTATCAACGATTCTGGCCGAAAGATCGAAAACAAAAGGTCTTATGCTATTCAGGACTGAAAWCAAGTTTCTAAGTTTTCGGTTCTTGGAAGTCCCGGGGGGGGCCCCGGGGGGGGGGTGCCGCTCGATAGGATCCCTTTTTCTGAGCTCCAAGTCTGGGATAGGTTAGTTATTTTGTTAGGTTAGTTATTTTGTTTGGGATAGGGTAGTAGTTTTGTCTGGGATAGGGTAGCTTTTTGTCTAGGATAGGGTATAGTAMTTGTGTGAGAAAAGSCACCACTATGAAATCGTTTAAAGCTTTATATACTTATCACTCCGAGTTATCACATTGAATTTCACTTTTATGATTAATATTATTATCACATTATTATTATCTCTTAAATACTTTTTATTATTGTACTTAGCTGAAGGATTTACCGTGGATAAATAAAGTTATCATATCACATCATGTCTTGGGTTGGGTGGAGTTTTSATTGTGATCGTATCTGCTAGGCCACGCTTTCAGCGCTTTGTACCTTTAGTCTGAGGTAGGGAATGTAAAAATCACAAAAATTGGGGTAAGGGTTTTGAGGGTCGTGCGACACACCCCCAGCCACGTTGGGGAGGGAGAACCCCCCCTCTCCTCCCCCGGGTTGGAAGTTCTTAAGGAGTTCTAGAATGCATTAACATACAGTAATACATACTTGAACKGTTGCCACAATATCTTGAGGGGCATCGTTGCGTTCTATCCAACTCATAAACAAAATACTTTCCACAATTTCTCACTCGAATTTTATTGCTGTACTTGCATGTGTTGTTACTCTGATGGTAACAGACTTTCCTGGTGATAATTCCCTGGGATTGACTCGGATGAGATCCATTCATCCATCCTGGGAATGATGTRCCACATCGCTGTTCAGGAACACTGGATGATGCTATCCTTGTCCCTGCTTGTCCTCGAAAACGGTACCAACCAGCATGAAAATGAGGCGGCTGGTCGCATTTTGGGACGTTGCCTGTAGATACGGTGTCTGAACGATCAGCTTCATTTAAGACTTGATTGTGTGAGCAGCCTGATGTCGCTGTGACAGAGAGAGACAAACGTTAATACGTTAAATGTAAATGCTTTGTTTGTTTCCTTGATTTCGGTTTATCTTGGTTGCTAAAAATACGTCTTGTGGTAAGAAATTGAGTTGAATGGACATACACTGATCCCGAAATATACCTTTGCACAGAAAACTCAATTCCTTATTGCAATCATTGGTGGTCCACAAACCATCATTAGTGTTCATTGCCACACAACTCAAAGCTCTACTTCCAGGCTCTCCCGGTTTCCACCGTGTATATGAAGGTGATGTTCCATCAGACCAGCGAAAATTAGATGCATTTTCACGATTGTTCAAGCCAAGCCAAAAGCGCTGTGAGGAAAACGGTTTTATCAGGCCGAAGATGAAACTTTGTTCTGATGAAGTGGTGATGCTAGCAAGATGGCCACCAAGTGATAGACACAAGTCCTCAGCATCAACCCAGTTTCGTCCAGTAAATGTGAAGCTAGTCACCATGGGCCTGTAGCAGAATCCTTTATATGTTTCCCATCCGTTAGGGCAGTCTATGGAAGAATATTAAAGGGTTATTAACCTCGTTTGTTCGGTCTGTATGTGAAATTGTTATATTGGTAAATTATTTTCACTGTTTTCTCGCTCTCTTACGATTCGGTGTCACGTGTCCGGAGCTAAAATCAACTGTTGACTGATTGGTCAACAGTTTGACAATTTAATATTTCTCTGTACGTAGGAGTCATATTCTAAACACTGCTTCGTCTACGTTTGTATATGTTTTATTTTCCGAGCTTTCGGATCGTTCGATCCATCATCAGGGACTAGTGATACAAATGAATTAACTAGCGGTTGAAAAACTAAACACATCACGAAAATGCTAAATATAATAGAGCGCGGTACAGATGCGGGCGCACACAAGCTAAGAAAATTAATTTTGAGTTAAAATGGGACGATATACGTCTGACGATTGTTGACCGCTTGGCCATTGGCGGGAAAAGGCCGCCTCGCGTCGAGTAGAAGTTTGTAAAGGCGGGAATGGTTTTTGCTTCTTTCGACTGTTTACAAAATGGAGCCGGCATCAAAACAGATTTTCAAATCTTAGTCAAGAAATAGACGAAATGGTTGTCAACAAAGACTTGGAAAACAGTAAAAAAGCTACAAAGACTGCTTTGGCTATACGACTCTGATAGAATTCTGCAGAGAAACCAAGAGAGAAACGGTGAATTTGGACAAATGTCACATTAAATTTCTATTCAGGAACTCATTGACTGTTTCATTCATAAAGTTTTGCTAGTTTTTTGGCATTTGTATATTTATATTAGTTTTATTCTAAAGCACAATGTAATTTAAACGCTCAACATCTTGCTATTTTGTCGCGACGGTCAAATATTACTTATTTACAATAAAGTATTATTCATGATTATTGAGAATCATCTTGCAATGTGTTTTGATTTTTTTTTATTCACATCATTTACCAATATAACAAAGCACTTAATGACTGTTCCTTCAGGAAACGGTTAGTTTTTGTTTCCCTCGAATCTCAATGTTTCCCTCGGCGTACCTCGGGAAAAAACAAAACTAACCGTTTCCCGAGGGAACAGTCATTAAGTGTATAATATCAGACGGAGGTCTTCAGACCGAACAAACGAGGTTAATAAATCATTTATCATAGGGTTATCATATATATGACTGCTTTATTCTTTTTAAATGCTAAGAAAA